GCGGAGATTTAATCCGTCTTATAAATCGTTTCAAATTGGTTGAAGGCAGCTTAATTGTCATACTTGATTTGTTACCGGGAGCAAAATCTATCAGGTTGTACTGCATAGGGCGTGTGGAGGGATGTTTTTCTTAAAAAATCACAAGTTTGAAAAAAAAGTTTCAAATTAGTTTAATACAGTTTTTTTTCATATTATTACTGGTCCAAAGACCTTAAAAGGCAGTCGGAGCATCTAGAGCTTCGCCCTGATACGAGTAGTCTTGTTTTTAGTTTGTTTTGTTTGATTGCTGTCGGATAATAATTGCACTAGAGTTTCAAATATTGCACTAACTTTCCATAAATTTAATTAGTGTTTCAAATATTGCACTAGTGTTTCAAATACTGCACTAAAACATACCGAACACTTGTGCTGTATACAGGAAGTAATTCACACATCGCGTTTTTTTAGTTGCCAGAAAACAAAGTTTTCGTTGAAATATTGCACTTGACTTCCCATGAATTATTTTGCGTACAATAAACCTAATTACTTTGAGTAACTTATATGATGATAGGATGCCAATCTCAGTTTCTTGACTGAAACCCTGCTGCAGTGTAGCTACTATAATGTATATTAAATTTCCTCCACGCGAAGAAAAATCATCTATGGTTGATTGTCTGAATCTGTGTAGAAAATCATTTTGATGATATTTTTCGGGTTTCAACTGGAAAAAAAGGATTCGAAATTTTGAACGTCATCAGAAACCAATTGGCGAAATAACTCATGGTGCTAGCGTTAATTCAGCGGCACGTTTAAAAAAAACATCACAAAGATTTAGAAACTTTTGTATTTAGTCTCGGGCTCCTAGTAGCTGTACTAATTCGTGCAAAAATCAGACGTAAGGAAAATGATAATGTCAACAAGTCGATAGACAAAAATTTTCATATTATCTGTTTAATGTCTAGAAAAATCAGGGGCAGAGGATTTATGATACAGATCGCACTAAAAGTTAAAGTAATAGACAACATCAATAGTGGTTTACCGAATCTTTCTGAAATGTTGTTGACAATAATTTTAACTTTGCGTTAGCATATCAACTCTGTTATATAATTTGATGAGCTGTACATAAAAGTTCTGCTCAGCATCAAACTCAATAAAGTCTTACGCGGCAAAAAATTACCGGAACACTATGAAAAATTAAATTTCTTCATTCATAGATGGACACAACAACAGCAAATGGATTTGAATTCCTGCTTATGATTAAAGCTGCAAACCGACGTAGTAAAACATCAGAAAATTGTATAGACTGTTTATTAACAAAAAACGGCGATGATCGAAAGATCAAATTAGATAAGGTTTGTTTTTGACTAGTTTTCTGTGATCTCAAAACAACTTCGGCTCGAAAGTTATTTTATCCTTTGCTTCAGATTGAAAAATATTTTTCCTGACTCAAATAAAAATAGAAAAAGCATCATTGTTTTTTTAAATAGATAACGTAGAGTTTTCAGATCTCGTCAAAATGGGCAAAAAAAGATGACAACAAATCGGCGATAGCTTTTGAAAGGTTTTTTTGCGAGAAGATACTAAAAGTTAAAACAAGACTGCTCGTATCAAGGCGAAGCGCTGAATGTTCCGACTGCCTTTTAAGGTTTATGGAGCAGTAATAACATGGATATCATTAACATTTAAGTGTAAGAAAATAAAAGGAAAATCATCCCCCCACACGCCATATAAAGTAGAAAAGAATAGATTTCGCTCATTGTAACAAATCAATTATGGCAAATAAGCTTTCTTTCAACCAATTTGGAACAGTTTCTAAGACGGATTAAATCTCCGCTTACCCTTTAATAGTGCGAAATATATCGCGCGTTAATTGTCCAAAATTGGCCAAAACCCTCATAACTTTACGTAAAATGATCACACTTGAAATATCTTTTCAAATTTAAGCTCAGGAAAACAAAACCTTTTGAATGATATAAAAAAATTCTGTCAAAAATGGCTAGTTAAAAAGTCGAAATTTGTCTGAAGAAAAAAAAAAACCCACCCCGAGCACAAATATTCCGTTACTTTCGTATCGAAAGTCGGAACAATAAAGCTTCCTGGCTTACAAAAAAACTTGCAGTTTTATTGAATTAAGAATCACTGCTTTAACAAATCAACGAGTCAGGAAAAAAGTAAATCAAGGGAAAAAATTCCAATCAATGTCAAGAAGAATAAAAACGAAAGAAGCGACAAAAAATAGCTGAAATTTGTTCAATCTTTTCATAGGATGCTCAAGACAAATGTAAGAGATTTTCGATAAAACTAACGGTAAGAACTCAGAATTTATACGTTAATGACGAGGGATGCTGTCGAACTCTTCATCAATAGCTAGCGTTTGTATCGAGAACAGTTAGTTTTCATCTGCCTAAATTACTGACCACACGTTGAACCGGTGGTTCGAATGGATGTCGCAAATTAATTTACATATCTGTTCACTAGCACATTTGCTGATGCTGGTTAAGTAAAAACAGTCCTAAAATTAAACAAGACTGATCGTATCAGGGCTAAACCCTGAATGTTCCGACTGCCTTTCAGGTTTATGGAGCAGCAGTATCAACATAAAAAAATTAAAAGAATTAAAATAAAACGAAAATTGTTTTTTTTCTAAAATTTGAAATTTTTTATGAAAATCATCCCCCCACACGCCATATAAAGTACAAAAAGAGATATTTCGTTCCTTGTAACAAATCAATTATGGCAAATAAGCTTCGTTCAACCAATTTGGAACGATTTCTGAGACGGATTAAATCTCCGCTTACGCGTTAATAGCTTGAATTATATCGCGCGTTAATTGTCCCAAATTGGTCAAAATAGCCAAAATGGCAATCTTTAAACCCTCATAACTTTACGAAAAATGATCACAGGTGAAATATCTTTTCAAATTTAAGCTCAGGACAACAATAGCTTTCGAATGATGTAAAAAATTTCCGTCAAAAGTGGCTAGTTAAAAAGTCGAAATTTGTCTGAAGAAAACAAAACCCACCCCGAGCACAAATATTCCGTTACTTTCGTATCGAAAGTCGGAACAACAAGACTGCTCGTATCAGGGCGAAGCCCTGAAAATTCCGACTGCCTTTTAACGTTTATGGAGCAGTAATAACATAAACAACAAAAAAAAATTAAAAGAAATAAAATAAAATGAAAAACTTTTTTTTCTAAAATTTGAAAATTTTTTCTCTGAAAATCATCCCCCCACACGCCATATAAAGTACAAAACAAAAGATTTCGCTCCTTGTAACAAATCAATTATGGCAAATAAGCTTCTTTCAACCAATTTGGAACGATTTCTGAGACGGATTATATCTCCGCTTACGCGTTAATAGCTCGAATTATATCGCGCGTTAATTGTCCCAAATTGGTCAAAATAGCCAAAATGGCAATCTTTAAACCCTCATAACTTTACGAAAAATGATCACAGGTGAAATATCTTTTCAAATTTAAGCTCAGGACAACAAAAGCTTTCGAAAGATGTAAAAAATTTCCGTCGAAAATGGCTAGTTAAAAAGTCGAAATTTGTCTGAAGAAAAAAAAAACCCACCCGAGCACAAATATTCCGTTACTTTCGTATCGAAAGTCGGAACAACAAAGTATGAGTGATGAAATTGGTAAAATTTCTCTCATAAAAGAGAGTTTTTGGTAGCGCCATTTTTGTTACACTCGACTAACCTCTCCTTCTTCCCAAAATCTCCAGCTGAGCATAAATGCGCCATTTCACAAAGTTGGTAACAGCAACAATGCAAGCAAATGTCGCTAGATAGAACCCTTGCTTAACTTCCGTAAATTAAAGGAAAGATTTTGCACTCTCGTTTGTATAACTATCTTGAACAAATCGAGTTTTTGTTTCGTCTTCTGTTTGTTTTCAAAAAATTTTCTAACAATTGATGCAATTGCAGAACTGACTAATTGAATAAGATTGGCATTTCAGAACTTAGTTATAGTTTAGCAAAAAATTTAGACACAATTAATTGACCAAATTTTCGAAGAAATTAGAACAGTTAGCGAAAGATGGTTGAAAGCCACGTGTCTAGCAGTTAAATTGGATTTACTTAATTGTATAATTTCCATTTCAGTTTATTTAGCTGCTTGAAAAAATTTCAAAAAATAGAAGTAAAATTATTTTTAAGTGCACGAGTTATATGTATAAGATACGCAAAACATTAGTTTTGGTTCATTTAATCAAAAACATCCAAAAAATTAGGTTCCAGGTTTTAATTTGTAACATTTTGTGTTAAATACAAATGTATCAAAGTGTCAAACCTTTTTTTATCCCATCTCGTAGAAAAAAAATAAACAATTTGTACGACAACTAACAGAAAAGCGAAACAACTGATTGAATTGAGTGAGAATAATCTGTTATCTTAGACTATGATTTGTTTTGCAGTATTCTGGCCCAAAAACTTACCCCAAAAACTATCTTTTTTGGCTGTGGTTAGTCAATCAAAAATTACTTCCTATTTATTCATTTACTGACAAAGTTATATCACTGCAAGCTTCTTACTTCTAAAATCAACCTAATTGGAGAAAAACGCGTTTCATGTTTCAAGTTTTTTTTCTTTTTTTTCCGGATAATTTAAATCGGCGCCATATAACTTATTTCAGTTTGCAGCTGGTTGACTTGCAGATCGTTTTGGAGTCAAAGATAATCTTCCGAAATTGAGCGCCAGGAAAATTCTCGAGCGGTCGTACGATCACTGGATACGTAAATCAATTGTGATGAGTTTTGTTCATACATTATGTTACTCTCTACTGGTCTGTGATGGTGTTATCAAAACTTTAGACCAAATAAATGGGCTTATATCATCCGACAATCGAGCCAGCTTAAGTCAATAAGGCATAAGGGGTTATGAAAATGTGATCATATGTCTTAAAATAGATTGTCCCCCGAACCATTATGAACCATATGAAAAACGAAGTATTTGACCTGAAAACTTGTTCACTGCTGATCGTGTCGTTAGAAGAACATTTACTGCTGGATAATTCGGTTTATGAGACAGTTTCGTTTTCCTTATGTTTCGCCTTACTTCATAAATTACTTTTCTTATCACATTTATTTAGTCTACTTTGTAGTAGATCAGCAATTGTTTCTTCAAAATGATCGTCGGTGCTATTTTTTCAGTAACGTTAACTATGCTAACTTTTACGGAAGGTTATTGTCGTCCACAGAAAAATGGAGAACCGCAGCAAATTCATCTCAGCTACACAGGTTTAGTTGAAAATTAATTTTGACATTTTTCTGTTTTTCCTTCAACTTTTTTGTTTCTAGAAATTTATCTAAATCAAATTTTTAAAAAAGGACATCTTTGATTGGGATCATTCTTTATTTTTTTGTCGTCCAATTAAAAATTTGAAAATTTTCAATTTTTTCGTGCCTGCAATAGTCAAATAACTGATTTTAAGGTGCAAACGAATTGAGATTTTAGGCAATATTTCGTCCATTTTCATCACATGGACTTCGTATAGCAAAGAAGGCGAAGGCTTCGTGTTCTACCGGCCAGTGGACAGTCGGAGCGACTACAGCAGCGTAGATGCCGTGAAAAGTACTCTTGTTCACGACGACGAGACAACTAACGACACGAGAACCACTTTCGTGTTCAAGGCCAAGCTGGAAGCACTACAGCCGGATACATCTTACGGTTGGTATACATTAAAAAGATATTTTTTGTTGACCCAATTCCGAATTCCCATTTTTGTGGCAGAAATTCGAGACCCTCGCAATCAAAAACTTCTGGCCGGCCACTATGAAAGTCGCCGGAAGGCCGTTCTGACACTACTATATGCTAATATAAAAAAAGTCGCAACTTCTTTGTATTTTCTCGAACGTAGCAAAAACATTAAATTCTACAACCCCCCCCCCCCCCCCCCCCCCCCAAAAAAAAAACGAAAAACAAGACTGAGCCGAAAAAATTTGAAAAATAAGGTCAGCCAACAGTCAGAATACAAACGCGCGAACGTTCGCGGGCTTTACATTTTTTGGGCCTTTGACAAAAATTATTCTTCAACAAATGGAAATCAAAGCAATACATCAAAGCAACTGCTCTAGAAGTTAGTTAGTTGATGCTAGCAGTTCAAAAATGGTTATTGTAGCAACTTTTTTTTGCTTTTGCATCATAAAAATTATGCATTCCAAGCAGGGGCGGATTTAGGGGGCGGGGGAGGCGGACCCCCCTCAGGGATTCGACCCACTGCTCACCTAAAAGGTCCCCTTTTGTACTATTTTGAGATATCCATTTTTGGTGACGGACCCTAAAAATTTTTTAATTTTAAGGGGGGAGTGCGCACCAAAAAAAAACGCAATTTTTTGGTCAAAGTTTTCCAAAAAATGCCTAAAAACGCCTTTTTTGGCCAGTTTTTTTTCAAACTTTGACTGCGGCGCAGAAATTTTGGCCGAAATGGGGTCTTTAGAGTGATTTGGGAGAGCTCAGAAAATCAGTTTCTGTCAAACGTTTGAAACGTTTTTTTCCGGATTTTCAGACTACTACGTCAAATCCGTGGAAAGGAGCGAATTATTCCAGTTCCACACATTCAAACAAGGAGACGACTTCAAACCAGTTGTAGCTATCTTCGGAGACCTCGGAACCGAATATAACGCCTCAATTCCGGCTCTCACCGAATTAGCCGAACATCGAGAAATCGATTTGGTTTTACAAACTGGCGATCTAGCTTATGACCTTGACGACAATTTGGGCAAAAAGGGAGACAAATTTATGCATCTAATTCAACCTATTGGATCTAGAATACCTTACAACTTCATAGTCGGGAATCATGAAAAACATAATAACTTCAGCGAATTTACTGGACGATTTAGTTCGCCGGGGCCGAATGTATTTTACAACAGTTTCAACGTGGGCCCGATCCATTTTGTAGTATTTTCGACGGAGTTTTATTTTTACGAAGAGTTTGGCACTGAACAACTGCAGGTAACCCAATTTGTACAAATTTTTTTTCCAATTTCGTTTTTTAATCACTAATTTTTACAAGAAATAGAATTTTATGGTTTCTATTTTTTTCTAAGTTTTTTTTTGGAAAAAGTATTACAAGAAAGTTTTTCCAAGATTTAAAAAAATTCACCAGAAAAATATTTTATAGGCACAATATAACTGGCTGCAAGATGACTTAACCAAGGCTAATCTTCCAGAAAGTCGTGAAAAACAACCCTGGATCATAGCTTTAGGCCATCGTCCTATGTATTGTACCAATGTCAACGACTGGGACTGTCAAAATAACAACACAATTAGACTTGGATACCAACAAAAAGATTTCAAACTCGAAGAACTATTTCACAAGCACGGAATCGATGTAATAATGAACGGTCACAAACACGATTACGAAAGAACTCACCCAATTTATAATTACACGTATGAAAAATCTGCAATTTTTTACGAATATAAGGATGCAAAGTACCCAATTCATATAATCTCGGGAAGCGCTGGTAAAAAAGAATGGGCAAAATTTATGGAACCAGCACCGCAATGGTCGGCTTTTAGAAGCACAGAACGAGGCTTTACTATTTTAAGAGTTCAAGATAGACTAAACTTGGGTTTCATGTACTGGTCGGTGGAAAATAACAGAACAGTAAACCCGGTTATCGATCGTTTTTGGTTGATCAAGACAAGAGCGGTAAGAAAAGATTTGAACCCAGATGTTACTACAAATCTGACATCTATTTCTACCGCTGCTCCTGAAGCGAAGCCGAATCAGGCAATGAAACGAAACAATTTACTTGTATCTGCTATACTGGAATCAATGATTTGAAAAGGGTTAAATTAAAATGAGCTAATTTTTGTCGTAGTGTTCAATTTACTTAAATGCTTTGGATTATATTTTAGTGACTGTTGTTGGTATTAAGATAAAAATTGATGAAAAGAATTGATCTAAAGAATCCTTTTTTTTTGCATTTGAAAACAGCAAAAAACTATCAACAAAACCAGCTGCGATCGAACAATGCCATGACTGAAAAAAAAAGAATTATCAAAAGGGTAATCAACGAATGGTTTGTAAATTTTCTGAAGCCAACACGAATCGACTAACAACTTAATTAGGGTAAAAAATTTAAAGCTGAAGCCTATTGAGATGAATCACCTGTCCATGTTTGAATTAAATTCCAGCAGATGGAATTTAAAACAGTTTACATATATTTTAAAATGAAATTCCCAATTTACTCCTGAGCAAACATAATGGTCTTAACCCGAATTTCAAAATAAATAACTTTGAAATATTTCACCAAAATATGGGGAACGCACGGGCTGGAAAGTTGAAGTATTTGAAAGATTCACAGAGAATCGTTAGCAGTATGTGATAACTAACAGAACCTCTGAGGTTTATGATGAAAACTGAATTGGTTTCACAGAGTTAATTTAACCGTTGAAACCGTATTGTTTTATTTGGATTTCTTTATCCGAGATCGACTGTGTACGGAGTCACAGATCTGAGAGACAAGCTCTCTATTTTTAACAATAAAGGTCACGTAGTATTGACCTTGGTTTACATAATAGGATAATATAATTTACAGATAACAATATGAACAGCATGTCCAAGGCCACTATATGGTTACTGCAAATGCAGTAGCAGTTGCGGTACCCCATACCCCGCTCGGCCAAGAAAATTTTATAATACTTCATCAAAATTTTTAATAAAAATGAATAGGAGTTTTAAAACTCAGTTTAAAGAGTTTTATTCTTTGTTGGCTTTGGTTTGGAATCATTTTCCATCTTTCTCTTCATGCACTTCCTCCAAATGTAATGGGATTCGCCACTCAGCATTCCAGGAGCGGTTGATGTCGAGAGCCTCGCTGCCGAACTTTCTTCTGAAAAGATGTTTTTCTAGCAGACCAAATTTTGTTTCCACCGAATTCGACGCATCGGGTTTGAAGTTCGCTAACTTAATGCGGTATGCTTCAAGTGCGGCCTGATTTAGGTCTAAAAGATCATTATGGTAAGAAATCGACTTTACCGAATGTTTAATCGGACTCCCGTATCTAGTCGGTCCCTTTTTGGACCTTCCGCTTTTACGAACCGATGTTTCTTCGACTTCTGATTCGTCCGAAAACCCCGGAGGGTTATTGGATTCTTCCTCAACTTCCACATCTTCTTTAGATTGCAATATATCTGCCGCCGTACGTTGTACTCCTCTTTCGAGCACTTGGTTTTTAAACGATTCCAATCAGCTGCCGATAAATCTTTACTGTTGAATGTGTCTAAGATTGTTTCTGGAGATGTATTGCGTGATATGTCTTTCTTATTTCTCGTACTGCTGTGAGGAGTAGAAGTTGATTTTTGTACGCCTCCTGGGTTTGACGAACCCGCTTGAGTTTCCGCTAGAGGTTCTTGAGCTTCTGCTGCCGTGGCAGCATTTTTATTTTGTAGAATGACTGGTTGGGGATCTTTTGAGCTTGTGCCCCCTTTCGTCTTGGGTGTTCTAGAGAATGGACCGGCCAAGTTTGGCTTGGCTCTTCGAACCGCTAAGTTAAGGCCACCGCCTTGTATAGTATCCTTTGACGTGGCCACTGTAGGGCTGTCTTGAAATTTCCGTTTTGCCTCCGATGGATCTATGATTCTCTGCTCTAGCATAATACGTCCGAAATTAGTATGAATGAAATGATTTCAATGCTGGCTCGGATCTAGGATAATTTCGTTGAATTGTAGATGCGACGTTTTTTTGACACTTTTCAAAAGGTTTTGGCCGAAAAAATTAATTTTAGGTGCGCGCTTCTCCTTCAAAATTAGTGTGTATTGGCGCCAGAAGCAACTCTAGAAAACCAGCTAAAACCTAAAACAAACTTCAAATAACTGTTAGTTGAAAAGTCGAAGCTTTTCTGAGATAAAACCACCCCTAGCCCAAATGTTCCGTCACTTTCTTCGGCAGACGGAACAATAAGATAACATTCGAAGTGAATCCATCAATACTCGTGCACAAATCAATACTGCGCGGATTAGGGCAAAGCTTCGAATAATCACCTTTCTTCAAGTTGGTTTTGATTCTTATTGTTCCGACTTTCAAAACAAAAGTATCGGAATATTTTTGCTCGGCCACCCCGAGCAAAAATATTCCGATACTTTTGTTTTGAAAGTCGGAACAATAAGAATCAAAACCAACTTGAAGAAAGGTGATTATTCGAAGCTTTGCCCTAAACCGCGCAGTATTGATTTGTGCACGAGTATTGATGGATTCACTTCGAATGTTATCTTATTGTTTTTAACTAGCCATTTTTGGCGGACTTTTTATATCATTCAAAAAGTATTGTTGTCTTGACCTTAATTTTGAAAGGATTTATTGGTTGTGATCATTTTCCGTAAAGTTGTTGGGGCTTAAAGATTGCAATTTTGTCAAATTCGGGGCAATTAACGCGCTATATATTTCGCGCAAGCAGATATTTAATCTGTCTGAGGAATCGTTCCAAATTGGTTGATGGGAGTTAATTTGCCAGAATTGATCCGTTACCAGGAGCGAAATCTATCTCTTTGTACTTTATAATCTATTTTTTTTTTTACTTTTTTTCCTGTTATTTCAGCTCCATAGACCTTTAATGGCAGCCAAAACAGTCAAGGATTCGCCCTAATACGATCACTCTTGTTCATCTTTGAATTGATAAGTAAATCTCATTAATTCGCCGCTCACGGCTTCCAAGGACGCAATATATCGCGCGATAATTATTCTTTATGAGCAAAATCTAATTATCCATAACGTTGCGGAAAAAAATACTGGTGAAAATTGTTTTTAGATTTGAGCTTAAGACATCAAAGTCTCTGAACATGTATGAATATCCGTCATGATTTGTTAGTTCAAAAGCTAAAATTGTATGAAAAAATCACCCCTGCACAAACATTGCGTTATTTTCGAAACAAATGTCACTATTATCAAACAAACAGTTGGTCAAATTTATTAGGTTTATTTTATTGTCAGGCAGGTCAAAACAAGCGGAATTGGATGCTGGGAATTAAAAAAAAAACTCATCGTAATAATGAGTTCTTTTCCATCATCATTGGCACTCATAGGTCATTGCAGTGATAAATCTTGAAACGATTTCTCTGATAATTCGGCCCATGTGAACAATCTCTACCTTTAATAGACCAAGTGAACAATCTCTGCCCTAAAATAAAATGGCAAACTTAAGCAGTAGGCTTGCATGCAATATGCTCAAATCTGATTGGCTGAAAATTACTACTTTTAACCGAGTGAACAACCTACCTTCTAAATTGGTCCAATAGATCAGTTAGAGTTTTCACTTTGGTTGTCGTAGGGAGTCATTTTCATTGGTCTTGAGAAAATAGAAGATCCAGAAGAGATTGTCTATGGAAGCCAAACGCGGGCTTGGGTATATTTCTATTCACAGAGATCTAAAGCGATTTTCTGAGGTTCATGATTAGCCTAATGCAGCCTTCTGTTGTAAAACTTTTTACTTTTTTTTTTACATAAAATTAAAAAAAAATAAGTAAATGAGGTCTGAAGCGGTTTTCCCGACAAAAACCATAAGAATATTTCTATTCGAAGATTTCACATAAGGCTAAGCGCGTCCCCGAAATCTTTTGCAAACTGCATGGTACTCTCGAGTTTTGGGTGCAGTCCATGACTCAAAATATTCTTAAAAAAACTGATTGAAAAAATTTTTGAAATATGAAAGAAAAAATCTTTCTTTCAGAATTATATTTATTTATTTATTTAACTTTTGGTTTCATTTATTGCACTAAATTTTTGGCAAACTTTTCTGCAAAATGTTAAAATGTTTGTTAAATACCCTGACCTTTTATAAAAACAGAAAATGATAAATTTGGGAAACAATTCACTTCGGCTAGTTTCGCAAAATAAGAGCTTGCTAAATAAAAACTGATTTCGTGAAAGTATTACATCAAAACAGTATAAGAAAAAGAATCAATTTGGTCTATAAATTGTCGAATGATATGTTTTCTAGATTTTATAGAGAACTAATTCAACTTGGAGCTATGCTGAGAGTTGAGTACTAATAAAACAGACGATATCTGATGAGCTGCTCAAACCATACGTCTACAAACAAGCTCTCATCGAAAAGAATACATAGCATCGAGGAGCTACAATTAATGCCAAACTTCAGAAAAATTCTAAGTTTTTACTTCCCTTGGCAAAAAATTTCGTTGGCTAGCAGTATTGTATTTTTTTTTAGTTGCCATAGGAGATGAATTCAAAGTGCCGAAGTTATAAGTTTGGCATTAACTATAGAACAAAGTCTGATATAGTGACCTTGAAGAGCGAGACTAAAATTAGTTCACACTTTTTAATTAGTCATCCTCTTCATCTTCTTCCTCTTCAACACCCTCTTCCTCCCCTCCCTCCTCGCCAGCGGCCGCCGCCTTAGCTGCCGCCTCTTCCTCCGCCGTCGGGTCGTCCATCTCCTCAACCTCAGCGCCCGCGGCGTACTCACTAAACGCCGGCGGTGCCTGAGGCGGAGTGTAGTTCTCAGCCGTGTACTTGTGTCCGAATCCGATGTAAATATTCTCGAACTTGCGATCTTGTCCAAAGGCAAATGCTCCAGGCCAAAGATTGGATCTCACAAAAACTACTGAGAAAAACGGAACTCGTTCCGAAGCACACTTGATGGTCCAAGGCGGAAGTTCATCAATAATGGCGTCATCCGAAATCGGAGTCAGAAGCGACGGTCCAGTTTCGGGTTCTAACTCGTCCATTTCTTCTTTTTCCTCTTCCTCCTCTTCGTCTTCAAAATCCTCCTCGGATTTCTGGTTCGGATTAACGAACGAGCATCGTCCTTGGGGGAGAATGAACTGAACGTGGTGTGTCCAGTTCGTACCTCGGGGATCCGAGAGTTCTTTAATCGGCATCGGTTCGTACTCGGCATTTTCGACATAGTGATCTTTGGCACCGTCATCTTCTTCGGCTTCTTCTTCTTCATCGAAGGTGTAAAAATTGATCGGAGATACCTGGGTTCCGGCCGATATCCTTGAGATTTGGGCTCGCAGGTAGTTCGCCTCGGTGCCGGCGAAGGGCGGGTAGCTCACAATCGGGCGGTCGAGGTGTCCGGTGAAGTACTTCTTGATCTTCCTGGCGTTGAAGATCTGAGCCGGAGTGACAGTCGGGAGTTTGCTCCAGGGCTGACCGGGGTTGTTAGTGACGAAGTAGGTGTACTTGTTTGCACCTGTGCCCTTGTCTTCTTTGGGCACTGGGGGAGAGGATTTCCAGTCATTCTTAGGCAACACGTCTTCTTCTTCACCGTCGAGATTGTCATCGTCTTTCTCTTCTTCCTCTTTTTCGGCTTCTTCTTGAACCTTAAGATAGAACACTAATTAAACATTCTTAAATTTACTTTCAATACTTTAAATAGCGTAGAAACAAATGTAGACCAATATTTCTTCCGAGCAAATTTTTGTGATTAAGTGTGCCTTTTTAAATTGTTTACCAAGTTTTTTTTCACAAAAACAAATAATAAATTGACCGAAAACAAATACCAAAAAAAATTTCCGGTTAAATATGGGAAAACAAAAATTTCAGAATATGGGAAAACAAATTTTCGAGCTTCGCGGATGACAAAAAATGTTCTTCCAGTCAATGAATAATCTAGCTAGTTTAATGAAAGAGTTTAAAACCAAAATTTTGCTATATTGCAAAAATATTAAAATCAAGCTAATTTTGCGAAAGTATTTCATATTTTTATGAAATAAAATAACCTCTTCCTCCTCCTCTTCTTCCTCCCCTTCTCTGTACTCCACTTCTGCTATGTAGTAATTTTTCTCGACACCCAAAATTTTCCCCCAGAACCGACACTTCTGCAGAGGGTGTGTCTCAATCAAGTGTTTCAGAGCCAGACTCATGAGAAAGTACTCCTCTCTGCTAAGTCCCACTCCCGCCTGTTCGAACATGTAGGCGTTTTCCATCACATTCGGAAGGGGGCTCCCCATTTCCTCTTCTGTGATCTCCATGGCGCCGCCATCTTCGTCTTCGCCGCCAGTGAACAGCGGTTTCAGTTCTTCTGATAGTTTGGCCTAAACACACGCAAAGGTTGACAAAGGCATTTTTGAAAGGACAGTATTACGATTTTAATTAAACTATTTGAAGTATCATTGAAGCTCTGAAAGAAACTTTTGCATGCGAAAAAATTGGTAACTTATGCTTATGCTAATTTATGATTACAAGTATCGTGATAATTTAGTAACGCTTAACTCTTGAGTCAACAAGAGAAAACTGGGAAATACTAGAAAAAAACGATAAGATAAAGCTGAATTCTGATAGCCAACTAAAAAAAAGAAAAAGTGTCAATGAACTTAACAAAACTGTAAAAATTGTTTAATTTTTGAACCCTTTCAATATTTGAATTTCGAAAATATATAAGTCACGTTAAAGCTATTGAAATTTTAAAATATTTTTTGGTTGATACTTTTTCATGAAACTAACCCAATTATAAAAACTGGTTAAAAATGGCCATTATCTAAGATTTTTTTTCGCGTTGGGAACTTAAAAGATTAAAATCAGTTGTTGATACTAGAAGTCATTCACGTTGTTTTGCGCTACTAGCTCTTTTGTTAAGGGAGAGCCTAAAATGCCTTTCAATTAGCTATTGATATAAAACTGAACTTAAAAACCAAATCATAACTCAAGCCCTTGAAAGAAAAATTCATATCGTGAGCCATTGGATTACAGATTAGAGATAAAATGTAATTAGTTCAGACCGAAAGGTAAAATTAGATTGAAAACTCGGCTAAAACAGCCAAAATCAAACTCTTTGATAAATGTGTAACAAAAATTTTAGAAATAAAAGTTTTACAGCATAGTAAAATAAGTACTCTACGATATATACAAACTGAGAATGAAAGCATAATACAAAATCTCAAACAAAAGCTATCAAAATGTAGCAGTTCATTAAAATGTTTCAACTCAAATAGTTTGCTATTGAAAAACTGAGACCAGAACAAAAACAAGACTGCTCGTATCAGGGCGAAGCCCTGAATGTTCCGACTGGCTTTTAAGGTTTATGGAGCAGTAGTAACAAAAAACAATTAAAAGTAATAAAATAAAATGAATTAAAAATTTTTTCTTGAATTTGATTTTTTTAAATGAAATCATCCCCCACGCGTCATATAAAGTACAAAAGAATAGATTTCACTCTTTGAAACAAATCAATTATACCAGTAAGCTTCCTTCAACCAATTTGGAACGATTTCTAAGACGGATTAAATCTCCGCTTACGCGTTAATAGCGCGAAATATATTGCGCATCAATTGTCCCAAGTAGGCCAAAATGGCTGTCTTCAAACCCCCATTACTTCACGAAAAATGATCACAGGTGAAATATCTTTTCAAATTTAAGCTCAGAACAACAATACCTTTTGAATAATAAAAAAAAATCCGTCAAAAATGGCTAGTTAAAAACGAAATTTGTCTGAAGAAAAAAACCCACCCTGAGCACAAATATTCCGTTACTTTCGTATCGAAAGTCGGAACAATAAACAGTTTCTATACAATGCACAATTTTATGTACCGTTTTTAATGCCAAAAAGACTAAAACGAAAAAGTATTCTAAATATGCGAAAAAAAATTTTTCAGATGAAATTGTTACAAATAGTTGTTTTAACAAAGTCTAAAATTGAATTTCCATTAACTGGACCAAATCTATGTTGATAATTGACTAATCAGTATATTGTAAACGATCAATATACTGTCATCTTCAATTCTTTAGTCTGAATAGCACAAATATTCAGACCAGTTCTCGACGTTGACACAACTTTTAGGAACTTCAGAAGCTCGTATAGATAAGTTTAAAGCATTCCCAACATCGCAATTTTCAAACACCAAATTTATACAAAAAATCCTATTATCCGATTGCCGAAAATTTACTGATTAAAAAACACCCCAAGCGAAAATTTTTGCGTCATTTTTTTTGCTCTTAATATTTTTGTCTAATATTTTTCTATGTTTTTTTTCTACTGCATGAATTATTCATGGAGTAACTGCGTCAGAGAAAAAAACAATATACCCACCGGAACTTTAATTTATAGAAAAAATAGTATTGCTTCAATTAAAACAACTTAAGCCGCTACAGCCTGTATGTGATGAGCTGCATTAGTCTCAACTTTGAGCTTGTTAGGAAATATTCCAGCACAAAAATTCCAGTCTATGACAAAATATAGCAATCTCTTGAGCAAAAAACAATTCGTTCTTCAACATTTTCGGAAGATTTGAAAAACCAAGACCCAATTCGTAGCGCAGTTGTTACTTCATAAATCATTCATATAAAAATAAAACAAGGAAATTTACGCAAATTTCCAAACTTTTTCCAAATATCCAAAATTGCAAAAATTTTGAAATATCCAATTTTTTTATACATCGTTTAGGACTCGATGCAGAAGCAAAAATTGGTGGTAAACTGCAAAAAAAAAAAAGTTGTCAAAAGTCAAAATTTCAAAACATTTCTGGCACAGAAACAGAAACAATTATCACTAACTACCAAGTCATTCCGAAACAGTAAGATTGACTGAAAATGAGTGCATCCAGTTACTTCACAAGTAGAATTGATAGTTCCGACTCAAATGATCTCAGCAAAAAGAAAACCACAAAGCTTCTGTGAGTGATCACAATCGCAAGTGTAACAACTTTACACACTTGGTTTTCCATTAAAAAAAACATAAAAATAGGTCAGCTTGAAAATTATGTATAAAAAATCTGAGAAAAAGAAAAATTCAGAAGCAAATGACACGACATTTTGTTAATGAAAACATTTTCTATCATATTTATTTTAGTGAGCACATTATCAGAAAGCAAACCCTAATTTCAAAAATTTAGAATTAATACCTTAATTGCACTAATCGGCTTACTAAATTATTTATTAGACTAAGAAAAAATTGAACATTCAAAACATATTATTTGAAAGTATGTTTTTCTTAATATAATTATCAAATGAGTTATGGCATCACTTCGATCTTATGGCAAGTCAGAAAAAAATCACAAATAAGTAAAATATTGAATAGTAGTTCAGTTAAAACACCTTAGCTGAAAAATTCTGCTCATATTTTTCAAACCATTTTTCGTCGCTAAATTTCAAATTGCCTTAATTTTAGCGAGTAAGCTTATAATCTTTCTGTTGTATCTATTATATTTGCATTATGTTAAAAATATATTGACCAGTAGGTCGAAAGGAATTGAGAATAAACCAGAAACCTACAAAAATCAAAAGTTTACAGTATTTCTAAAATATTCAAATATCTCTACAGGCAGATTACGACAGGAAGATAAAATCGTAGCACAAGTAGAAACAATTGAAACTTCTTGAGAAATCGAGCATATCAGCGCAACCTCGACAGCACCTCAAAACTTAGACAAAGTTGTCAACCGGAAAAAAGTCTAGTACCGATTATAAATCACTTGCCATCAAAAAGTGTATTGAAATGCGGGGAAACTAAACAATTATATCGAGCCTGAAGTTTAAACTATACATGGTCACATCAGTCGGAGTGAATAAATTTCGAAATGAAAGTTTTCGATGCATTAGAACTTTAATCCAGATTTTATTCTGGGGTCACAAGGACCCCAATGTGTACCTGAGTAAGCCATAATTCTTCTGGTTCCTGTGAATACGGAGCTAACTTCAACTCCTTTACATTTAGACTCAGGTCTTCGAAGATATCTACGACATGAGCAGGTCTCTCTTCCAAAATTTTTGTCAATACTGTGGATATATGCTCGTAGAGGTTGATTCCCTTGTTGTTTTTGACTGACTTGAGATAAGTTTGACCTTCCTGGAACACTTTCTCACCGTTGGTAGGCATGTTTTTAAATCTGAAAAACAGCCGACTATTACTAATTGGTCCCTGTTAAATTAGAACCCGAGGCAAAGTGAAGCTTCAAAGACCTCCCGATCCAAAACTAATGAAATTGATAGAAACAAATGGAAAAATCACATTTAATAAACATTTTTGTAAATTTAATTCAAAATTTTTCCACAACTGCTAGAAACTGAAAAACATGGAAGAATGTTAATGTATTCAAACAATTCAACAAAAATAAATCAAAAAATTTGTGGAAAGAGATTTTTTGTGGAATCTAAAACTTAAAAGTTATCAGCACGAACAAAAACAAAAATTTCAAAAAAAGGCAACGATTCGATACGGCTCATAAAATGTTAGAATTAAAGTTAAAGGCTATCAGACTTGAAAGTTATAAGACTAAAGCTATAAGACTAGAAATTAGACACCAAATTGGTTTAGATTGTACCGTAAAAGTTAAGACAGAATGCCCGAATCAAAAAAATAACTGAGATCGATTCAGCTGAGGGTCAATTAAAATTGCAAGAGAATTAAAAATCATAAATGATGAAAATAATAATTTTTTGCTTTACAAACACAATAAGCAAATTATGATATCAATTTTCGTGAATTGAGAGATTAAGCTATCCGCTTTTATTAAGATCTGATAACCCATAAACAATGAATTTCCGTATCCTGAAAATTATTCCGTTACGCAAAAATCCTGGCCATAGCTGGATGAAACAGAACTTTACCGTCCGGAAAACAACTGTTTTATGGGCCGCGGAGCGTCAACCTGGACCCTCACAATTTTTAACGTGGTTAATTTTAAAAGAAGTAAGGTTATCTAATAGATCTCTTTCCATTAATATCCTATAATAAATTCATTGCTCCAACATAATCCAAAAACTCGGTTATATATATTTTTTGTATGTAGACTGGGGTGATTTCATTGGGAAGAGACGTCTAAGGTCATCAGAATGAAAGACTGCCTCACAATGCGTCACTTTTCCTCTTAGCAAGCGCAATCAATCTAACGTAAGCATATCATATCTGCACTTCTGAAGCACTTAAAGATAATAAAAAAAGAAAATCTAAATAAAATCGTCATCAATAGTATATTTCAGTAATTATTCTGACCATTAAAAATGAGGAGGAACTTTGTATTCGAGTGTGTTTCAGTTTCATTTTCTTTTGTTTTCCACGCATAATTTGGTACCACAAATAATCATCGATGGTTCGAAAGTTATAACAAATTGAAGCCCTTTCAGTCCTGATCGAACGACTTTACAAATTTTTTTACAAGTTGTCCCAGTATCGAGAAGAACTGGTTTAAAATTTCTGATTTTCGGTTCAACTTCCAGCAAATAATCGAACGAGCAGGATTACAATAGCTTATATATGCTTAATTTAAGCCGTGAAAACTTAGTTTTACTCGAGTTAAGTTAGTTTTTGGGGTTTGTTTTTGCTATTTTTTGTTTTTCTTGTCATTTTTCTATAAAAACTGTTGTCCAATTAGCCTATTTTACTACGACTGCGAATATGCCTAAATCCTAGTTTTATGTTGATCCTTTTATCATACCACGCAGAAAAAACTACACTAATTTGAATTTTTTGTTTGCATTGTCGGAAAATTATTTGCTACTTGCACAGTAACCGGCTATCCTTGTTAATTATTTATGATTAATTTATTTGAGCCACAGAAATTCATAAATTCTCAAACTTATTGGAAACTTAAGTCCCACGAATATGTATGGCCAAAAACTTTTCTCGCTAGAAAAATTGAAATATACGATGATTCAGTCTGATGGTGACAAAAATTATCGGGCTGTTCGACGTTATGAGATTTCGCTCGTATACTTCATGCGACGGATCGAAGAGCAAAATGAGCATTATTCGCAGACAAAGTATAAATTCCAACAGCATGCGTATGCCATATTTTTTTATATTCACAAGTAATATGATTTTGCATTATATGTATTGTGCAATCTGCTCTATTACAATCTGCTCATGGCAGACGCAGAGCTCTTCCTAAGTGCCAAATAGGGGCACTTCTTTGTCCTATGCATCTTCTAACTCGCCAATAAACGTTCAGAATGGAAACTAAACAAGGCAGAAAAAAATAAGAATCATTGAATGAAATAATTTGAGAAATGAAAAAGGTGAAAAAACCCTAAATTGGCTTAAAAAAACCTCAGTTCTTCTACCGTTTAAAAAAGAACCCGCACTAAAAACCCTGCGCGTATTTATAAAAAATGGGTCTCAAAAGAAAAAAAGTGACAACGGGTAAAAATAACATCACGGTATAGAAAAATTAATTCACATTACTTCGAACAAAATGAAAAAATATACTTTAAATTTCCGATAGAAAAAGGGAAGAATTCATTGAACAATTAAGAAACTGTTCAATTGGAATTTTTTTTTTTTTAAATGTACATGTAAGTCTTTACCGACATTCTAATAACGAAAAATGATAAATGAAAAAAAATCAAAACAAAATTTAGACTAATCTGTAGTTCGACTTTTGAGGACCCAAGAACATTTACCCTAAACTAGCAAAAATCAAATTGTCAAACTTGCCTTATGTATGCAACGATATCGAAGCGAAATTAATTCTCCAATTGCCAGAAGACATAATTCATAGCCCCATATTCCAACGTGAGACCTGTATCGTAACTGAACCGGGTCAGTATGTTTACACAGGAAGAGCAATTTTAGAAGTTAAAATACAAAACGAAGAACAAGAGAAAAAGCTGAAGGACTGGTCTTATAAATCGAGAATGGATGGCTTCAAAATGTGGGAAGGTGTAGAAATCTCGTTTCACATACCTTCACTACATGAATGTCACAAATGCAAGATGTCTGGACGCCAAGAAAAAGGTCATTACGATGATTGGTGCAACATAGGAAACCAAATAACCAAAAATCCAAATAATCACTACCCACAAAAACCAAGCTCCAATAATGCCAGCGACGAGAAAAACGATGACGAAACAACAAGCGATAAGTTTTGTAATGGTACCGAAAATGAAGAAGATAAGAATGTTGAAGCACCACCATCTGGAGTTTCGATTGATGAATCTAAAACAAACAGTGCAGCTACTCCAAGCGAAGAAAAACAAAAGGATGAGGTTCTCAACAATCAGGTCGTAGATTTTCATTCTTACTCTGCAAAAGAAAAAAAAGACAATTTAAATATCGAAAATAACAAACGAAAATGTTCCTCTGACGGAAGAATGCTTACAAAAAGAGAGCGTGAAACTTCACCAACCTCTTGGTCAGTTTTAACACGAAAGAAAGGGCCAAAAATGAAATCTAAAAATAACGGAGAAGACTTGGTTCCAGGGAAGTTTTAGCAAAAATTTCTATGTGCGAAAAACCAGATATTTTTTCCGTTAATATTTTTAGCATAGGAAATCCAGCTAAATTACACTCACTTATCAAAAAATGCCAAGTTTTAAAAAAATCGCCCAGTTTCATTTTGTGCATTCAGGAAGCAAAAATATCGAAACTTACAAATATACATTTGAGTTTACTGGATAAATATAATGTTTTATTCGATTTCATACCGGGCTCAAATAATTCTGGTGGTTTCTTAACGTTATGGTCATCAAACTTGAGTCCTGCAAAAAGAATTGCTTCAAGTACAGGTTTTCAATTGTTAAAGTTTGTCAAACTTGATTGGTTTGTTGTCAACGTTTATGCGAACCCAATTTCATTCCGAGCAACTTTGAATTCCCTGAAATTAAGCATCAGATTTTTACCTAACAAATCGAAAATTATCATGATGGGTGACTTTAATGCGCTGAGTTATGATAATATTAACAGTTCTTCAATACTTAAGTTAAATGATGCACGTATCAAACGATTTACCCACCTCAAAGAACAAATTCTTGACTGTTTTGGTTTTGTTGATTTTGCACTCAAGAATGATTTTTGTGATTATACACATTATGACAAACAACATAAAACTTTTGCACGCATAGATTATGTTTTCATAAAATTCGAAACAGAGTATGATTCTATGCAAAGCATTCAGATATCAATATCTGATCATTTGCTCTTACACGTTTTTGTTAAGCCATCTAACTTGTATCAGCGCGGCCCTAGTTACTGGAAATTAAATGAAGAAATTTTAAACAACAACGCCAGCTTAATTCGTGAAGACCTAAAAAACTTTTACGAAAATGAATCACCAAGTAGTTACGAAAACTTTAAGCACAATTTTCGTGACCTTCTGAGGTTTATTCAAGAGAACAAAAAGCGTGTAGATCAGAAAGAACTTAATTTATTGAAGTATCACGAAAATGTTCTCAGAGATTCCATTCACAGCGGAAAAGGTCCGAATCCTAATTTGATTGAAAAATATCATTTGGTGCTGGAACAACTTCAAAAAGTTTCCAAGGAAAAAGATTTTTCAGATTATCGAAAAATTCAGAAAACTCTCAGCTATACATTCGACGGTGTTCCCAAATTTTGTAGTCAATGGACATCAAAGAACACAATTAACTCAATCAAGCGAATTCAAGTGGATCAGAACGTTTATCATACGGATGAAGATATTCTTAATCAATTTCGAAAGTATTTTTCAAATATTTTTTCAAATAGTTCTACAACAGACTCCGATCAACTACTAAAGATTTTTTATCAAAAAATAAACTCGAAAAAAAATGAGAATGATGGCTATAATTACTTTACAGAAGATGAAATTCACTTGGCTATAAACAAATTGAATTTGAAAAGCTCGCCTGGACCAGACGGCCTTACTTCTAAGCTGTACAAGACTTTCACGGATGAGTTTTGTTCAATTTTAGCTAAAGTTTTTAATCATTTTGTTCATGGTGGAAAACTTCCAAACAGTTTTTATTTAGCAATAATCAAACTGCTCCCGAAATCTGAAAATTCCATAGAGGTACAAGATTTTCGCCCCATCAGCCTTATGAATACTGACGCGAAAATCTTTGCCCACGTAGTCTGTAATCGAATTAAAAATGACCTTTGCAAAGTTGTAAAAAACCATCAGCACGCGTATTTGC